AAGATACTTGACATTTGAAAAGCTCTAGCAAAACGAACTACACGATCTTGTGCTATGCTTAGGATTGGGTCTTGTCCATCACATCAGTCTCCTAATGATGTGATCCCGTTATCAACGACATCTAATGTCCATAGTCAGGAAACCATGACTATCTGTTGATCAACGAGCTAGTCAACTAGAGGCTCACTAGGGACATATTATGGTCTATGTATTCACACGTGTATTATGATTTCCGGATAATACAATTATAGCATGAATAAAGACAATTATCATGAACAAGGAAATGTAATAATAATTATTGCCTCTAGGGCATATTTCCAACATAATCTCCATCCAACATTGGCAAATCAACTTGTCCTCTTGTGTATATGAACCCGTGCAAATGCTCTTCCTCCTCTTTTGTGCTTCCGCTCTTTGGGTGAGCTTGTCGATGAACAATGGCTCGCCACTAATATCAATATCATTGCCTTCTTCTTCATCACCATCACCTTCGACATAGATGGCATCGTCTTCATGCAACGAGTCACCATGGTCGTAGTCAGCACGGTCATCGGCCTCTTCATCGACAACGAATTGGGCGCAGCCATCCTGACTTTGGATCTCCTCGGGATCGTAAACAGGAACATGCCCACCCTCGTAGATCACATCCTCCATGAACTGGTCATAGTAGGGGTCATCGACCGGTGGCGTTGGTGTTGGCATTCCGTCGAACAAGACGTGGGGGGGACAGCATGGTGCCCGTAAACGGCGATCGTGCTTGCTTTCTTTGCATCTCGACGGACGGTCGGTCGCCGTTGCTGGATCCAGGGGTGACGTTGAGGTCGATGACGGCCCGGCGGGCGCGGGGTGGACGGCGCGATCACGCTCACATCTGACGACCCCGAGAAACGGGTCTAGCCGTCGTGCCTTGCCGGGGGAAGCCGGGCGACATAGGCGTGGTCCGCGACGTTGCCGACTGGCAGTGCGGAGGCCGGGCGACCGACGACCCTGTGCTCGCCGGACCGACGGACGCTGCAGAGAAACCGGCCGGACGACAAATGCCAAGCATGAGGAGGGCGTGCGCTTTGTTGATGATGGCCTCCTTCTCCTCGACCTCGGCCTTGTGCCGCGCGGCCTCCATCGCGTCCAACTTGGCGATCTCCTCCGGCGCGCACTCCGACCGCGGCTTCCTTGGCGCCTTGGCCTTCTTCTTCTTGGCCATTCCGGGCGGGTCGACGGCCAGGCCGCCGGAGTTCGGCTGGGCGTCGGCCATGGACGGGGGAGGGAGGGGGACGGCGGGACGTGGGAGGGTTTGGGGGGAAGTGGCGCCAAAGGGGGCGCGGTGGGGTTTTGCTTTGTGTCACCGACAGGCGGGCCAGGGGCGGACAAGCGCGCGCGTCCCGCCTGTCCGCGTGTTGTCCGTTTAACCCCAAAATCGGTGCAAACTTGGGTCGGGGATGGGTCGAAAGCAGACACAAAACGGGCAAAAGTCCGTTTGCTCCCGCACGCTGGGCCACTCGGTTCGTCCGTTTTACCCCAAATGAACGCGCGCGGACAGGATGGGGTCGCGCGGTGGAGTTGGCCTAACATCCTCAAGGGATGTCACGAAGCTATAGTGAAATGCATGTGTAAAACGAAGAAGGGATGTCAGGGTTACTATGGCAAGCACTGTACGGATTTACTGTAGCATGTACAAGAATAAATCAAAAAAATATTTTATTGCACCATAATTTTATTTGTATGTAATTTTTGTAAATGTATACAGTAGATTTGTAATTTGCAAATTAATTATAATTATTTTAGGCTTAACCATATGGATGTGAAGGAGGGATGTTACGGTTACTGTAGCTTACGTGACATCCCTTGAGGATGTTAGGGGATCCGGTTCCCTTCCAAGAGGGATATTTTGGAGGTCCATTTCAAAGTTGTGAGCAACTCCAACGTGCCACCGTTTGTCCGCGCGTGTTCGTTTATGTCAAAACGGACACAAAAGTAGGCCCAATGCGCCGATCCAAACAGACCCGTGTCCGCTTTTCGTCCGCCATGCGATCCACTTCTGGCTCAAATTTGAGTCTCATTTGCGTCGGCACGGACACGAGGTGGACATGCGCGACGTCCGTCTACTCCTCCCCCTGGCCCGTTAGTCGGTGGCACATAGGTCATTCTCTTCCTCCCATCGACAGTAAGCCCCCGGCCGCCCCACCCTGTTTCCGCCGACGCCCAGTTCCGGTGCCCTCGCCAGCAGTCTGCACCCACATACCTCCCCCGCAGCTCCTTCGACAACGCCGCTATGAGTGATATTTTTACACTCCTTCAACCTTGTTTAAAACCGAGATACAACAACAACAACAACAACAACAACAACAACAACAACAAAGCCTTTAGTCCCAAACAAGTTGGGGTAGGCTAGAGGTGAAACCCATAAGATCTCGCAACCAACTATTTAAAACCGACATATTTCACTAAAAAGAGATATTCACTCTGATATTGGCACTAATGACTAATAAATGTAAAGAATTTAACAAATCATTTATTTAATATATTTTCCACGGGAATTGGGTTAAAAAGGGAAGATATCACGTGGGAGAAAGAAAAGGAAGGAAAATAGAGAAGAAATGAATCACCAAGAGGCGTTAGAAGGACTCCAGAGCAAAAGACGGTGTTCCATGCGACCGCGAGGGTCTTGTTTCTTCATTCGCACCACCATGGACTATTATTTGTTGGACGCCGATATCTGCCAAACTTGTGGCACAAGGACCCCGGGACCGAATGCTCTCATCGTCACACATCGTGCCACGTCACCGCATGCATGCACAAATGATGAAACTGATGATGCCAGCAGAAATCTTTTGGGGTTTTAGTTTTTAAAATGTTTTATCTCTTAAATGAAAAATCCGATTGAAAAACCAGTTTCACCTAAATCCGCCGCGACGAGATTTCGAAACTAGATCTCATATTGATATGTTTTGATGACTTTTTTGTTAAAAGTTGCCATGTCTATTGCACATAAATTACTATGGTTGTTTCCACTGAAGTTACCATGATATGTTTCAACTACTCTTTCTTCTACGTTTAAAGTAAATTTTGACATGTCATAAAAAAAGAAATTAAGAAACTAAAACTTGCCAATGTCCATGGATTGCGTCTAGTTTTTGCAGTTGAGCGGAGCCGAGGGAGCCGGGATCGTACGCGTTTGGAGCCGAGCGAGCGCTTTTGAGCCGAGGGAAGCAGGGAAGGGATCGGAAGGAGCGACGGACGTTGGATGTAAGCAGGGGACACCTGGACGAATTTTGGCTAGGGTACGCACAGGATGGGCTTTGCAGCCGGTGTCCACGGATTTTTTTTTTCCTGTGCAACCACACATGTTGCACATCCCCAGGGTCCGCCGTGGATGGTACGAGCTCGTCTGATGCTGCAGACACTTCTACCTCATCAGGTGGGACGCCACTCCCTTGACCGAATCCATGATTCCATTTGCGGAACTCCTCGGTGTGAAATTTCCAACAATGGAAGACCTGGATGCTCAAGCGCAGCTTCCAAGTTCAGAATAGCTAGGACAGGATGTTGAGGAGCTCAGTTGCAGTTGCCTAGTTGTCTCTGCCACTTCTTTCCTACTTACCTCCTGATCGCCACTGCGCTGAAGATGCACGATACATGAAAATTCACTGTTTCTTTCTGGAATACTAGACTTTGGGTATATACACTGCCATTTTTATTGCATATCGTCTCCGCAGTACAATGTTAGACAACCCTGTGTGTGTTCATCTGAAACTGATGGTAGTTACACCTGTACAAACAAAGGATATGCCGCAGGTCACATGGATCGTGTTTCCTTCATGCGCTTCCTCTTGTGGTTATACACATGACTGCTATTTTCTGATGTTCATGGTCTGAGCATCTGATATGTGCAGCTTTAGCCATTTGCAATGCCAGAAGGGTAGTGGGAAAGTAGGAATTGCAATTATGGACCCTGCCTTCTCATTATCTGATCGCTCTACGGAACTATGCATATGTTTTTTCGACAATGGTTTTAACAGGTGCTTCAGTCAATGAAGACGACACAAGTATACAACATGCTTGAGTAACAGATGGGGTCGAATCCAGGACCACACCTCGGAGCATCTATGGACAATCTATTGAGGCATCTAAAATGTTGACAAAACACTCTTAATCAGAGAATATCTGGCCAAACCACAGAAACTCGACACGTGGTTCCAAAAATGGAGTGCAGTATACGCCCTTGTTTTCAAGACATAAATCGAGCTGCATCCGCAACTGGGACCTTAGATGCAATGTAGGATGCCATCGTGAAAATGCCACCAAGACACGATCATTGCACTGATGCATCCCTCAGAGAACTTTTAGCAGTCTATGAGGAGCAGGAGATGAGATGGACAAGAATTGCCTGACCTTCTATAACACAATGAACCTGGTCATTTTCAGGATCCACTAGCCACCAACATTCTGATCCACCATCACCATCACCGCCATTGGCATACCCACTGTAGTGGCAGAACCATCATTATGCTCGCTCAATGTAATCCGGAACCATCCTCAAAGCATAAGACCAATAAACACCAGATTTATCTTGCAATAGGACCAAAACCTGCAACCAGAAGAAACTGGAGCTGAGATGAATCATTTCCCCATAATATGGTGCACAAATTACAACTAGATTCTTTGTCTTGATGATATCTGTGGGCAAAAAATGGAGAATGATGGCACAAAATTACGGAAGTCACATAATCAAAGCAAACGGATACTAATGATCTACAGTAAATGAAGATGCGAAAGAAATGATACCTCGGGATTGCTCGGAATAGATCAGCACAAACCAGATCTTTGTTAAAAATCCTCAGTCATTTTTCGATTGGTAATTCTGATAACTCAATGCATCACAGGGAAGTATCAATCTCGTTTCTGAAGTAATGCGCTGAAGCCTGATCTCCATCTCAAGACTGTTCGGGCATTCTTGGTAAAATGGACAAGTGGTATCATGATATGACCATTGAAACTGTGATTCAAGCATAATCATCTTCTATCAATTTCATCCATGGGCCAACTTCATTAACAAGCCCCTGAGAATGTAAGTAACAGACCAACTTTCTGACAGGTTGAAGGCTAGCAGAAGTGGAAAGAGAAGCCATGAGTTCATTCATTATATTCTGAAAAGCAGAGCTGCAGTAACGCCTAAGCCACTTTATGTGCTCAGAAGCCATTTCTATTTCCTCAACATCTGTTAGGCACTTCAACAGAATGACATGTGAATTAAAGCTCTCAATATTGGATGGAAGACTTGACATAACACCCACTGCTGCTTTGAAGCCACCTGAAAAAATTTCCAAGGACGGTATTTACAAGGAGGTAACAGAATAACTAAAACAGCAAGCGTACCTAATACGAGGACAGGAATACCTTGTTTACAGAGTGCAATGACAAACACAGTTAACACTGAACTAGCTAGTTTAGGATCCTGCGCTACAGATTTGTTAAAGATCTCCTCAGCCTGTTCATATTTGTTTTCTTGACACAACATAGTAATGACTGATGTGTATGTTGTACTATCTGGTGCCACTCCTTTCAGGACCATGTGATCAAACAGCTGTTGGACTTGTTCACTTTCACCAATTTCTGCAAATTTTGTTATAAGTATATTGTAGGTCTGCAGATTTGGACTACACCCACTGGTGAACATCTCATCCCACAGCTTCTTAGCAGGCCTAAGGAGGTCATTTCTGCAGAGTGCTACCATGAGAGAATTGTATGATGAAATGCCAGGATCTAGCTTCTTCCTTTTTATCTCCTTTATCACATCATATGCCTCTCTGACCTTCCCTGCCTTGCCCAAGAATGACACCACCAAATGGTAGTCCCTCTCACTTGTGCAGTAGCCCTTATCCAAAAGCACTCTAAACATCTCCCACATCTCATCGCCCTTGCCATTCTTGCAAAGGCCCTCACAAAGTTGTACGATCATCTGTATACTTGGAAATCTCTCTTTCCCTATCATGAACTTGCAGAACATAATTGCAGCATCAGCATCAACCTCTGACACCGAACAAACCAAGAGATTCAACACATCGTCATCAATTGGGAAATCGCCTAATACAATCGCTTCCGCCATCTCCTTCGCGTCAGAAATCTGCCTGCCAGACACCAGCGCAAGCAAAACCTCTCTGTAGTCCTCCTTTCTTGGTGCAACACCGAGCTTCCTCTTCTGCTTCAAGATCCTCCCTTCCTCCTCTGCCCTCTCTGATAACCTGAACCCCTCGGACACAATCCTGTACGCTACAAAATCTGGCTTCCATCCACGCAACCTCATATCCTCCAAAGCCCGCCAAGCATCCTCTATCCTCCGCTCCCGACACAGACCATCGACAACCATTGCCGCGACAACAGACTTGTTGATCGAATCCCCCTGATGGTGCACCGCGTCCACCAGCCGCAGGACCTCGTCCAACCCGTCCCTCCTGCCCACACTCTTCGCAAAAACCCCGAAGCCGACGGTGTCCAGCTCGGCGGCGCTGGCCAGCATTCTGCCGAACACCTTGCGCGCGGCGGCGAGTGACCCGGACGACGCGAGCGCGGCGAGCAGGGAGTTGCAGAGCGGCGCGAGCGGCGCGGGCGGCGCGGCGGAGTCCGGGAGGAGGCTGAAGTGCGCGAGCGCGTCGGGGAGGCGGCCGTGGCGGAGGAGCGCGGAGGCCGCGAGCGCGCGGGTGGCCGGGAGGAGCGGCAGCCGCGCGGCGCGGGCGCGGGCGAGCGCGGCGAGGAGCGACGGGAGCGTGGCCGGGTGGCCCGCGCGGGAGGGCGCCGCGAGCGACGCGAGGTGCGCGTGGAAGGCCTCCGGCGTGGACGTGGGGGCGGAGGGCGGCGGGTAGGCCCGGCCGGAGATGGCGCGCGCGGCGGCGAGGCGGCGGAGGAGGAGCAGGCGCGGGGCGGGCCACGGTGGGGCCATGCTGGCAGCGACGGCTGGATGGAGCGAACCACATTATAATCGACTCAAGGCGTAAACTGAATTACGCTTTTCTTAACGGAAACACTAACGTGTGTGCCTTTGCATCCCATACGCGTGGATCCGCATCCGTTTGTGGATGCACGAATCTTGACATGTTTGTAGTGCCACATAGGACAAGGCTGGTGTATAGGCATTCACCCGTTCGTTCACACGTCCGTTTCACCACATGGAGGGGCCGGTGTGTGGGCGTTTAGCAGTTCGCCCACACGTCAGTTTTCACTCACGCACAAAGGCTGGTGTGTGGGCATTTGCCATCTCGCTCACACGTCCGTCTCCTCTCCCACACTCAAGTTGCTAGTTGCCATGTATTTTGCAGTGTACATGGCAACTGTCCTAGTGTGTTTGTAAGTAGATGACAACTCTTTTTTTTTACCCAAACATGTCAGTTGCCATGTGTTTTGCAAGGTATACGGCAACTGCCCTAGTGTGCTTGTAAGCAGATGGCAACTCTCTCTTTACCCGAACATGTTGTTTTGTCATGTCTTTTTGTAGCGCTACACGGCAACTGCCTAGTGTTAGTAGGTGGCAACTCCTAAGGTTTTCAAATCATGGCAATTGTTGTAAACTAGACCATACATGGCAACTGCTTAGTGTTAGTAGGTGGCAATCTCTAAAAGTTTTTCAAAATATGTCAACTATAGTAAACCAGACCATACATGGCAACAGCTGCAGTTGCCCAAAATGGCATCTCACCCTTGACCTGAGATGGCAACTGCAGTTGAGCAACCATGGCAACTGCAGTTAAACAAACATTGAAGAGGGTCCGGACCATGGCAACTACGGGGACGCGTGCTGATTGTCACGCGGGCCGTGCGGGACCGTGAGGTAGGTGGCTGAGAGAGGTCGTGTGACAGTTATCTATTTTGCCCACACGTAGGCGTGCGGGCTGGTCCTCTTAGACACCACACAAAATGTGTGGCCAGACTCCTTAACACCCACACGTGTGGCAGTTATCGTCGTCCTTTTTTAAAGGGAAAGGGACCGAGTCCCCGGCTCCATTATATTGTTTCTTTAGTGAAAATGTTGCTGCCTTTATTTAAACATCATAACTCGGAATATCATCCGAGATTACATATAGCACAAGGTCCGGAGAAGCCCCCACCCACATCTTACACAGTTCATCACTGACACCTACCTTAGCTAATTTATGCGCAGTAATATTCGCCGAACGACTAACCCACGAGACTCTGAAGTCACACCTCGAGAGCAACATATGTTTAATCTCTTGAAATCTATGGTCCAACCTCTGAATAGTTAATGACAGGTTCATTGATCATCTAAACCACACTCTTAGAATCCAAGTCAATTTGAACTCGTTCAATATTCAGGTCAATCGCTAACTGAACAACTCTTTTACACGCCAGAACTTCAGATACCTTGGGGCTTCTAATACTCGTGAAGAAATGGCTAGCACCAGCAATGAAAGCACCATAACGATCACATGCTACAGCACCACTTCCCCATTTATCTCCAGTCCTCGATACCGCATCGTCAGAATTGATTTTCACCCAACCCTAGTCCAGCACCGCCCATTTCTGCACCTGCTTTGGATGGACATCACGAACCATTGGCTGATGAGATAGCTTCCATTCATGCATATGTTGTACTCTCTCCGTTCCTAAATACTTGTCTTTCTAGAGATTTCAACAAGTGACTACATACGGCGCAAAATGAGTGAATCTACACTTTAAAATATGTTTACATACATTCGTATGTTGAGTCCATTTGAAATGCCTAGAAAGACAAGTATTTGGGAACGGAGGGAGTAAAACACAAGCCATTATTTCATATGGATGCATAGTTTGTTTTCCATCCCTCGCCTCATTTCTCGCAAGCCAAAGACCGTATACAGCATGGATCACTGTTTCCTTCTCATCATCACCCGCATCAGCTAACCAGTTCAAAGCCAACGGCCCAGTGTTCCATTGGTATCCATCAGGGCTGGAGGAGATGCTACGATCACCCCTTTCTTAGATTGCAGCTCCTTCCAGAAGAGAGACGAGCGGTGACACGACCAGAACCTGTGGAAGATTGTCTCTTCTCTGTCACAAACAGTACAGAAAACACCCGGTTTAATTCGACGCCGGTGTAATTCAGAACCAACTGCTAACCCATTCATGATCATCCTCCATGAATGGATCTTAGCTTTGTTCGGAGCATTTGTGCCCCCACAACGCCGAAAAACCCTTATGCTGGTCTACAGAACCCGAAGACTCCGGCCGACCAGACTTGCATTTTTTCTTGTTCATCCGAAGATGATAAGCCAACCGAACAGTGAAGACTCCATTGTTCGTAAAATTCCAGGTCAAAAAGTCATCTGTTCCCAGTCCTCCCACGACAATTTGTTTGATATCCGCAATATCTGATTCTGTAAACATGTTATCAATCCTTGCTGTATCCCAATCAGTACCATCTTGGGTAAGAAGATCCGCAACCTTTGTAATACCATGCATATACTCTTGACCCAGTGGTCTCAAGCTTCCATTACGAGGAATCCAATTATCATGATGGATATTAACCGAGAGTTGTCTCCAATTCTCCAGACTAATGCTTCTCTCGGAAGATCCCTACCGTATAAAATGCTTCGAAAAGTATAAGGCACATATGAGGGACAAGTTGTAGACATAATAGACCCCTCATTAAAATACCGAGCTTTTAGAACCCTAGAACAGAGAGACCATGGTGTAGTTAGGACTCTCCAAGCTTGCTTAGCCAGAAGTGCTTGATTGAACGCTTCGGGATCACAGAAGCCCATCGCCCTATTCACGTTTCGAAGCACATATTTTCTCCCATGATATCCAATGTGCCTTTCTTTCACCATTCATTGCACCCCACTAGAATTTCGAAGAGATTGAAGTCAGGTTCCGGCACGAATTCTTTGAAAGCCCTTGGCCCTTCCAACTAGTCACTTTCTTGGCTCTGTTATATTGAATATAACAAAGCCACATGCTCGGGGTAGCAAGAGGCGTAGAAATAAAGAAAAACTACCCCCCTAAAGAAAGGCCAACCCTTTTTGTACAAAAAGCTGTCAGGAGACACTAGAATAAGCGCAGACTAGAAGCTAAACATGAGATACATTATCA